CCCCTCCAGGCACGGTCCCCCACCCGGGGCAGCAGGGACACTCACCCCTGGTCAGGGTCCGGCAGTAGCGTGCGCTGGCCTGGCAGCTCTGTGGCTTCTTACAGTTGGTGGCACTGGTACACACGTGGCAGCGGAGAGCCTGGGCTGGGGGTAGGGAGGGTTTGCAGGGTCTCAGCCAGGGCCAGGGAGACCCTTCAGGGACCCCTGAGCCCTGGGCTCACCGCTGGAAAGGCCCCTCTGGACAGAGCCACCTGCCTCCGTGGCCCGAGGCCAGCCCCGTGGGGCCCCCAGGACCGGCAGAGCCTGTCCTGCACCAGCCTCAGCAGGAGGGAGTGGCACCCCAGTCTGTAGGGCCCAGGCCCTGGGCTGGCAGGTCGGGCGGAACTGAGAAGTGGCCAGTAGGGGGTTCACTGGAGACCGGCTTCCCGGCCTCAGCGCTCTGGACTCACTCATCCCGCCCCAGGGCTGTCCCCATGGGCAGGTGCTGGACCTAAGGCTGAGCCAGGGCCACGGGAGCCTGTGGGGAGAAGGGCTGTCCTGGGGGGACCGTGAAGGGCCAGAGGGGGGAGGCATCTCCAGGCGGCTGGCCGTGTCACTGCCCGTCAGGGGGCCCGTCCCAAGAGGCCATCTGCCTTCTCTGATTCCCAACGCTGTCAGTCTGAGCCGTGGAGATGGGGCTGGTTTTAAATTCTGAGTCCAGCCCGGCCGGCGCGGCTCAGGGGTTGAGCGCCGACCTATGAACCAGGAGTCACGGTTCCATTCCTGGTCAGGGCACATGTCCGGGTTGTGGGCTCCATCCCCCGTGGGGGGCGTGCAGGAGGCCGCCCATCCGTGATTCTCTCTCATCATTGACGTTTCTCTCTCCCTTTCCCTCCCTCTCTGACATCAATAAAAATATTTTAAAAATTAATAACAAATAAATTCTGAGTCCAGCACACCCACCATCTCGGGATTCTCTGAGCCTCAGGCTCCGCAACTCCAGGCTCCCGCCCCAGCCCCGCCGCCCGCCCGCACCTGGGCCCATGGCCGCAGCCAGGACGATGAGGAGCAGCAGGACTGTCTTCATGGCGCGTCTTGGGGAGCAGTGGGGCCCCTCCTCTCCGGAGGCCTTATAACCGGGACAGAGGCGCAGCGCCCTGTCCAGCCCTCCGTCCAGCCCTGGAGCACCTTGTCCTCACCTCCCACCGCCTCCCTGGTTCTCCACCCTCAGGGTCACAGACGGAGTCTGTGCAGGTGCCTGCGGTGCCCAGAGCTGTGCCCATGGCCCAGAGGCAGGAGGGGCGCTGGCCCTGCCTTCTGGGGTCTGGTCTCGGGGCCACTGGGCAGCCCAGGCAGAGCCTGGGAAGGACCCCAGGGGAGCCTCGTGTCCTGCTGAGACGGCAGACGGGGTGGGGGGCAGGGCGGCATCGGGGCGAGGCTGCTGGATGTGCCCAGAGGGGAGCCCGGCCAGGTGACTAGGGGCCTGCAGGTGCCCTGCGGCCCTCTGCACCAGGCAGACCTGCAGGGGGTATGCGTGGGCCCCTGACGCCAGGGGGGCAGGCCCAGGCAGCTAACCCCCCCCACCTTGCCCCAATGCAGCCCATCACCCTGATGGACGCGCC